TCTCTCTCCTGGTCTCTCCTGGTCCCTCTCCTGGTCTCTCTCCTGGTCTCTCCTGGTTCCTCTCCTGGTTCCTCTCCTGGTCTCTCTCCTGGTTCCTCTCCTGGTCTCTCTCCTGGTCCCTCTCCTGGTCCCTCTCCTGGTCTCTCTCCTGGTTCCTCTCCTGGTCTCTCTCCTGGTCTCTCCTGGTCCCTCTCCTGGTCTCTCTCTCCTGGTCCCTCTCCTGGTCCCTCTCCTGGTCTCTCTCCTGGTCTCTCCTGGTCCCTCTCCTGGTCTCTCTCCTGGTTCCTCTCCTGGTCTCTCTCCTGGTCTCTCCTGGTCCCTCTCCTGGTCCCTCTCCTGGTCTCCCTCTCCTGGTCTCCCTCTCCTGGTCTCTCTCTCCTGGTCCCTCTCCTGGTTCCTCTCCTGGTCCCTCTCCTGGTCTCTCTCCTGGTTCCTCTCCTGGTTCCTCTCCTGGTCCCTCTCCTGGTCCCTCTCCTGGTCCCTCTCCTGGTCCCTGTCCTGGTCCCTCTCCTGGTCCCTCTCCTGGTCCCTCTCCTGGTCCCTCTCCTGGTTCCTCTCCTGGTCCCTCTCCTGGTCTCTCTCTCCTGGTCCCTCTCCTGGTCCCTCTCCTGGTCTCCTGGTTCCTCTCCTGGTTCCTCTCCTGGTTCCTCTCCTGGTTCCTCTCCTGGTTCCTCTCCTGGTCCCTCTCCTGGTCTCTCTCCTGGTCTCTCCTGGTCCCTCTCCTGGTCCCTCTCCTGGTCTCTCTCCTGGTCTCTCCTGGTCCCTCTCCTGGTCTCTCTCCTGGTTCCTCTCCTGGTCCCTCTCCTGGTCTCTCTCCTGGTTCCTCTCCTGGTCTCTCTCCTGGTCTCTCCTGGTCCCTCTCCTGGTCCCTCTCCTGGTCTCTCTCTCCTGGTCCCTCTCCTGGTCCCTCTCCTGGTCTCTCTCCTGGTTCCTCTCCTGGTTCCTCTCCTGGTTCCTCTCCTGGTTCCTCTCCTGGTCCCTCTCCTGGTCCCTCTCCTGGTCCCTGTCCTGGTCCCTCTCCTGGTTCCTCTCCTGGTCCCTCTCCTGGTCCCTCTCCTGGTCTCTCTCCTGGTTCCTCTCCTGGTTCCTCTCCTGGTTCCTCTCCTGGTCCCTCTCCTGGTCCCTCTCCTGGTCCCTCTCCTGGTCCCTGTCCTGGTCCCTCTCCTGGTCCCTCTCCTGGTCCCTCTCCTGGTCCCTCTCCTGGTCCCTCTCCTGGTTCCTCTCCTGGTCCCTCTCCTGGTCTCTCTCTCCTGGTCCCTCTCCTGGTCCCTCTCCTGGTCTCCTGGTTCCTCTCCTGGTTCCTCTCCTGGTTCCTCTCCTGGTCCCTCTCCTGGTCTCTCTCCTGGTCTCTCCTGGTCCCTCTCCTGGTCCCTCTCCTGGTCTCTCTCCTGGTCTCTCCTGGTCCCTCTCCTGGTCTCTCTCCTGGTCCCTCTCCTGGTCCCTCTCCTGGTCTCTCTCCTGGTTCCTCTCCTGGTCTCTCTCCTGGTCTCTCCTGGTCCCTCTCCTGGTCCCTCTCCTGGTCTCTCTCTCCTGGTCCCTCTCCTGGTCCCTCTCCTGGTCTCTCTCCTGGTTCCTCTCCTGGTTCCTCTCCTGGTTCCTCTCCTGGTTCCTCTCCTGGTCCCTGTCCTGGTCCCTCTCCTGGTCCCTCTCCTGGTCCCTCTCCTGGTCCCTCTCCTGGTTCCTCTCCTGGTCCCTCTCCTGGTCTCTCTCTCCTGGTCCCTCTCCTGGTCCCTCTCCTGGTCTCTCTCCTGGTTCCTCTCCTGGTTCCTCTCCTGGTTCCTCTCCTGGTTCCTCTCCTGGTTCCTCTCCTGGTTCCTCTCCTGGTTCCTCTCCTGGTCCCTCTCCTGGTCCCTGTCCTGGTCCCTCTCCTGGTCCCTCTCCTGGTCCCTCTCCTGGTCCCTCTCCTGGTCCCTCTCCTGGTCTCCCTCTCCTGGTCTCTCTCTCCTGGTCCCTCTCCTGGTCCCTCTCCTGGTCCCTCTCCTGGTCCCTCTCCTGGTCCCTGTCCTGGTCCCTCTCCTGGTCCCTCTCCTGGTCCCTCTCCTGGTCCCTGTCCTGGTCTCCTGGTTCCTCTCCTGGTTCCTCTCCTGGTTCCTCTCCTGGTTCCTCTCCTGGTCCCTCTCCTGGTCCCTCTCCTGGTCCCTCTCCTGGTCCCTCTCCTGGTCCCTCTCCTGGTCTCCCTCTCCTGGTCTCTCTCTCCTGGTCCCTCTCCTGGTCCCTCTCCTGGTCCCTCTCCTGGTTCCTCTCCTGGTCCCTCTCCTGGTCTCTCTCTCCTGGTCCCTCTCCTGGTCCCTCTCCTGGTCTCCTGGTTCCTCTCCTGGTTCCTCTCCTGGTTCCTCTCCTGGTTCCTCTCCTGGTCCCTCTCCTGGTCTCTCTCCTGGTCTCTCCTGGTCCCTCTCCTGGTCCCTCTCCTGGTCTCTCTCCTGGTCTCTCCTGGTCCCTCTCCTGGTCTCTCTCCTGGTCCCTCTCCTGGTCCCTCTCCTGGTCTCTCTCCTGGTTCCTCTCCTGGTCTCTCTCCTGGTCTCTCCTGGTCCCTCTCCTGGTCCCTCTCCTGGTCTCTCTCTCCTGGTCCCTCTCCTGGTCCCTCTCCTGGTCTCTCTCCTGGTTCCTCTCCTGGTTCCTCTCCTGGTTCCTCTCCTGGTTCCTCTCCTGGTCCCTGTCCTGGTCCCTCTCCTGGTCCCTCTCCTGGTCCCTGTCCTGGTCCCTCTCCTGGTCCCTCTCCTGGTCCCTGTCCTGGTCCCTCTCCTGGTCCCTCTCCTGGTTCCTCTCCTGGTTCCTCTCCTGGTTCCTCTCCTGGTTCCTCTCCTGGTTCCTCTCCTGGTTCCTCTCCTGGTCCTCTCCTGGTCCTCTCCTCGGTCCCTCTCCTGGTCCCTGTCCTGGTCCCTCTCCTGGTCCCTCTCCTGGTCCCTCTCCTGGTCCCTCTCCTGGTCCCTCTCCTGGTCTCCCTCTCCTGGTCTCCTCTCCTGGTCCCTCTCCTGGTCCCTCTCCTGGTCCCTCTCCTGGTCCCTCTCCTGGTCCCTGTCCTGGTCCCTCTCCTGGTCCCTCTCCTGGTCCCTCTCCTGGTCCCTGTCCTGGTCTCCTGGTTCCTCTCCTGGTTCCTCTCCTGGTTCCCTCTCCTGGTTCCTCTCCTGGTCCCTCTCCTGGTCCCTCTCCTGGTCCCTCTCCTGGTCCCTCTCCTGGTCCCTCTCCTGGTCTCCCTCTCCTGGTCTCTCTCTCCTGGTCCCTCTCCTGGTCCCTCTCCTGGTCCCTCTCCTGGTTCCTCTCCTGGTCCCTCTCCTGGTCTCTCTCTCCTGGTCCCTCTCCTGGTCCCTCTCCTGGTCTCCTGGTTCCTCTCCTGGTTCCTCTCCTGGTTCCTCTCCTGGTCCCTCTCCTGGTCCCTCTCCTGGTCCCTCTCCTGGTCCCTCTCCTGGTCCCTCTCCTGGTCTCCCTCTCCTGGTCTCTCTCTCCTGGTCCCTCTCCTGGTCCCTCTCCTGGTCCCTCTCCTGGTTCCTCTCCTGGTCCCTCTCCTGGTCTCTCTCTCCTGGTCCCTCTCCTGGTCCCTCTCCTGGTCTCCTGGTTCCTCTCCTGGTTCCTCTCCTGGTTCCTCTCCTGGTTCCTCTCCTGGTCCCTCTCCTGGTCTCTCTCCTGGTCTCTCCTGGTCCCTCTCCTGGTCCCTCTCCTGGTCTCTCTCCTGGTCTCTCCTGGTCCCTCTCCTGGTCTCTCTCCTGGTCCCTCTCCTGGTCCCTCTCCTGGTCTCTCTCCTGGTTCCTCTCCTGGTCTCTCTCCTGGTCTCTCCTGGTCCCTCTCCTGGTCCCTCTCCTGGTCTCTCTCTCCTGGTCCCTCTCCTGGTTCCTCTCCTGGTTCCTCTCCTGGTTCCTCTCCTGGTTCCTCTCCTGGTCCCTGTCCTGGTCCCTCTCCTGGTCCCTCTCCTGGTCCCTGTCCTGGTCCCTCTCCTGGTCCCTCTCCTGGTCCCTGTCCTGGTCCCTCTCCTGGTCCCTCTCCTGGTTCCTCTCCTGGTTCCTCTCCTGGTTCCTCTCCTGGTTCCTCTCCTGGTTCCTCTCCTGGTTCCTCTCCTGGTCCCTCTCCTGGTCCCTCTCCTGGTCCCTCTCCTGGTCCCTGTCCTGGTCCCTGTCCTGGTCCCTCTCCTGGTCCCTCTCCTGGTCTCTCTCCTGGTTCCTCTCCTGGTTCCTCTCCTGGTTCCTCTCCTGGTCCCTCTCCTGGTCCCTCTCCTGGTCCCTCTCCTGGTCCCTCTCCTGGTCCCTGTCCTGGTCCCTCTCCTGGTCCCTCTCCTGGTCCCTCTCCTGGTCCCTCTCCTGGTCCCTGTCCTGGTCCCTCTCCTGGTCCCTCTCCTGGTCCCTCTCCTGGTCCGTCTCCTAGTCCCTGTCCTGGTCCCTCTCCTGGTTCCTCTCCTGGTCCCTGTCCTGGTCCCTCTCCTGGTCCCTCTCCTGGTTCCTCTCCTGGTTCCTCTCCTGGTTCCTCTCCTGGTTCCTCTCCTGGTTCCTCTCCTGGTTCCTCTCCTGGTCCCTCTCCTGGTCCCTCTCCTGGTCCCTCTCCTGGTCCCTGTCCTGGTCCCTGTCCTGGTCCCTCTCCTGGTCCCTCTCCTGGTCTCTCTCCTGGTTCCTCTCCTGGTTCCTCTCCTGGTTCCTCTCCTGGTTCCTCTCCTGGTCCCTCTCCTGGTCCCTCTCCTGGTCCCTCTCCTGGTCCCTGTCCTGGTCCCTCTCCTGGTCCCTCTCCTGGTCCCTCTCCTGGTCCCTCTCCTGGTCCCTGTCCTGGTCCCTCTCCTGGTCCCTCTCCTGGTCCCTCTCCTGGTCCCTCTCCTGGTCCCTGTCCTGGTCCCTCTCCTGGTCCCTCTCCTGGTCCCTCTCCTGGTCCCTCTCCTGGTCCCTGTCCTGGTCCCTCTCCTGGTCCCTCTCCTGGTCTCTCTCCTGGTCCCTCTCCTGGTCCCTCTCCTGGTCCCTGTCCTGCCTTGTTGCTGGTTGTCATAGTTACAGTCAGAGCTGCTCCTGACCCTGAGTCTGTTGAAGGCTCGGCTCTGGAGAAGAAAGGAGGGAAGGAGTTTTCTGAAGCTGTTCTGGAACTGAAGAAGAAGAACGGGCCCTTGGATGTGGCCGGAGGTGAGTCCCTGTGCTCCACAGAGTCCCAGCAGGAGTCCAGTCCCTGTGCTCCTTAGAGTCCCAGCAGGAGTCCAGTCCCTGTGCTCCACAGAGTCCCAGCAGGAGTCCAGTCCCTGTGCTCCTCAGAGTCCCAGCAGGAGGCCAGTCCCTGTGCTCCTCAGAGTCCCAGCAGGAGGCCAGTCCCTGTGCTCCTCAGAGTCCCAGCAGGAGTCCAGTCCCTGTGCTCCACAGAGTCCCAGCAGGAGTCCAGTCCCTGTGCTCCTTAGAGTCCCAGCAGGAGTCCAGTCCCTGTGCTCCTCAGAGTCCCAGCAGGAGGCCAGTCCCTGTGCTCCTCAGAGTCCCAGCAGGAGGCCAGTCCCTGTGCTCCTCAGAGTCCCAGCAGGAGGCCAGTCCCTGTGCTCCTCAGAGTCCCAGCAGGAGGCCAGTCCTGTGCTCCTCAGAGTCCCAGCAGGAGGCCAGTCCCTGTGCTCCTCAGAGTCCCAGCAGGAGGCCAGTCCCTGTGCTCCTCAGAGTCCCAGCAGGAGGCCAGTCCCTGTGCTCCTCAGAGTCCCAGCAGGAGGCCAGTCCCTGTGCTCCTCAGAGTCCCAGCAGGAGGCCAGTCCCTGTGCTCCTCAGAGTCCCAGCAGGAGTCCAGTCCCTGTGCTCCTCAGAGTCCCAGCAGGAGTCCAGTCCCTGTGCTCCTCAGAGTCCCAGCAGGAGTCCAGTCCCTGTGCTCCTCAGGGTCCCAGCAGGAGTCCAGTCCCTGTGCTCCTCAGAGTCCCAGCAGGAGTCCAGTCCCTGTGCTCCTCAGAGTCCGGGCTGGTTCATATGGGACTAACATGTCACTAATATATTTTGGTGCGAGGCCATGGAGAGACTTGTAACAAGCAGAGCTGTTTTAAAATCTATTCTTTGAGCCACAGGAAGCCAGTGCAGAGACCTGAGGACCGGACTAATATGGTCATACTTCCTGGTTCCTGTGGACTCCCAGCAGGAGTCCAGTCCCTGTGCTCCTCAGAGTCCAGGACTGGACCAAATGCCAGATTATAAATTCCCTTTTCTGCCACAAGATGGAAGTGTTGCACCATTTTATTCCTACATTTGTTTTAATTCATAAATCTGTAAATAAATAAATCTATTAAATACAATCAAAGACTGAGGCTGTAGACCCAGGTCTGAGGCTGTAGACCCAGGACTGAGGCTGTAGACCCAGGACTGAGGCTGTAGACCCAGGACTGAGGCTGTAGACCCAGGACTGAGGCTGTAGACCCAGGACTGAGGCTGTAGACCCAGGACTGAGGCTGTAGACCCAGGACTGAGACTGTAGACCCAGGACTGAGGCTGTAGACCCAGGACTGAGGCTGTCGACCCAGGACTGAGGCTGTAGACCCAGGACTGAGGCTGTAGACCCAGGACTGAGGCTGTGGACCCAGGACTGAGGCTGTAGACCCAGGACTGAGGCTGTAGACCCAGGACTGAGGCTGTAGACCCAGGACTGAGGCTGTAGACCCAGGACTGAGGCTGTAGACCCAGGACTGAGGCTGTAGACCCAGGACTGAGACTGTAGACCCAGGACTGAGTCTGTAGACCAGGTCTGAGTCTGTAGACCCAGGACTGAGTCTGTAGACCAGGTCTGAGTCTGTAGACCAGGTCTGAGTCTGTCTTGTCCGTAGCGCTGCTGACCGCTGGCTTCGGGCTTCCTGCGAAGTACGTGATCCACTGCCACGGGCCCAGTTTTGGTTCTGATAAATGTGAGGAACTTCTGGACAAAACCATCCGGAACTGTTTGGCTTTAGCCGACGAGAAGAAGCTGAAGTCTGTGGCCTTTCCTTCCATCGGCAGCGGGCGGTGAGTCCCTGTGCTCCTGAGTCCCTGTGCTCAGACATTTATGTTTTTATCACCAACAGCAGATTAGAAAATCAAACACACAGTAATAACAGACACATAAGGGCTGGGAACATCAAACACGTGATCACAGGGACAGAGTTTCAGATCACAGGGACAGAGTTTCAGATCACAGGGACAGTGTTTCAGATCACAGGGACAGAGTTTCAGATCACAGGGACAGTGTTTCAGATCACAGGGACAGAGTTTCAGATCACAGGGACAGAGTTTCAGATCACAGGGACAGAGTTTCAGATCACAGGGACAGAGTTTCAGATCACAGGGACAGAGTTTCAGATCACAGGGACAGAGTTTCAGATCACAGGGACAGAGTTTCAGATCACAGGGACAGAGTTTCAGATCACAGGGACAGAGTTTCAGATCACAGGGACAGAGTTTCAGATCACAGGGACAGAGTTGCAGATCACAGGGACAGAGTTGCAGATCACAGGGACAGTGTTTCAGATCACAGGGACAGAGTTTCAGATCACAGGGACAGTGTTTCAGATCACAGGGACAGAGTTTCAGATCACAGGGACAGAGTTTCAGATCACAGGGACAGAGTTTCAGATCACAGGGACAGAGTTTCAGATCACAGGGACAGTGTTTCAGATCACAGGGACAGAGTTTCAGATCACAGGGACAGAGTTTCAGATCACAGGGACTTTTGTTTCAGATCACAGGGACAGAGTTTCAGATCACAGGGACAGAGTTTCAGATCACAGGGACAGAGTTTCAGATCACAGGGACAGTGTTTCAGATCACAGGGACAGAGTTTCAGATCACAGGGACAGTGTTTCAGATCACAGGGACAGTGTTTCAGATCACAGGGACAGAGTTTCAGATCACAGGGACAGAGTTTCAGATCACAGGGACAGAGTTTCAGATCACAGGGACAGAGTTTCAGATCACAGGGACAGAGTTTCAGATCACAGGGACAGAGTTTCAGATCACAGGGACAGAGTTTCAGATCACAGGGACAGAGTTTCAGATCACAGGGACAGAGTTGCAGATCACAGGGACAGAGTTGCAGATCACAGGGACAGAGTTGCAGATCACAGGGACAGAGTTGCAGATCACAGGGACAGAGTTGCAGATCACAGGGACAGTGTTTCAGATCACAGGGACAGTGTTTCAGATCACAGGGACAGAGTTTCAGATCACAGGGACAGAGTTTCAGATCACAGGGACAGAGTTTCAGATCACAGGGACAGGGTTTCAGATCACAGGGACAGAGTTTCAGATCACAGGGACAGAGTTTCAGATCACAGGGACAGAGTTTCAGATCACAGGGACAGAGTTTCAGATCACAGGGACAGGGTTTCAGATCACAGGGACAGAGTTTCAGATCACAGGGACAGTGTTTCAGATCACAGGGACAGTGTTTCAGATCACAGGGACAGTGTTTCAGATCACAGGGACAGAGTTTCAGATCACAGGGACAGAGTTTCAGATCACAGGGACAGTGTTTCAGATCACAGGGACAGTGTTTCAGATCACAGGGACAGAGTTTCAGATCACAGGGACAGAGTTTCAGATCACAGGGACAGAGTTTCAGATCACAGGGACAGTGTTTCAGATCACAGGGACAGTGTTTCAGATCACAGGGACAGAGTTTCAGATCACAGGGACAGAGTTTCAGATCACAGGGACAGAGTTTCAGATCACAGGGACAGAGTTGCAGATCACAGGGACAGAGTTGCAGATCACAGGGACAGAGTTGCAGATCACAGGGACAGAGTTGCAGATCACAGGGACAGTGTTTCAGATCACAGGGACAGAGTTTCAGATCACAGGGACAGTGTTTCAGATCACAGGGACAGAGTTGCAGATCACAGGGACAGAGTTTCAGATCACAGGGACAGAGTTTCAGATCACAGGGACAGAGTTTCAGATCACAGGGACAGTGTTTCAGATCACAGGGACAGTGTTTCAGATCACAGGGACAGAGTTTCAGATCACAGGGACAGTGTTTCAGATCACAGGGACAGTGTTTCAGATCACAGGGACAGAGTTTCAGATCACAGGGACAGAGTTTCAGATCACAGGGACAGAGTTTCAGATCACAGGGACAGAGTTTCAGATCACAGGGACAGAGTTTCAGATCACAGGGACAGAGTTTCAGATCACAGGGACAGAGTTTCAGATCACAGGGACAGAGTTTCAGATCACAGGGACAGAGTTTCAGATCACAGGGACAGAGTTTCAGATCACAGGGACAGAGTTGCAGATCACAGGGACAGAGTTTCAGATCACAGGGACAGAGTTTCAGATCACAGGGACAGAGTTGCAGATCACAGGGACAGAGTTTCAGATCACAGGGACAGAGTTTCAGATCACAGGGACAGAGTTTCAGATCACAGGGACAGAGTTGCAGATCACAGGGACAGGGTTTCAGATCACAGGGACAGAGTTTCAGATCACAGGGACAGTGTTTCAGATCACAGGGTTTCAGATCACAGGGACAGAGTTTCAGATCACAGGGACAGTGTTTCAGATCACAGGGACAGAGTTTCAGATCACAGGGACAGAGTTTCAGATCACAGGGACAGTGTTTCAGATCACAGGGACAGAGTTTCAGATCACAGGGACAGTGTTTCAGATCACAGGGACAGTGTTTCAGATCACAGGGACAGAGTTTCAGATCACAGGGACAGAGTTTCAGATCACAGGGACAGTGTTTCAGATCACAGGGACAGTGTTTCAGATCACAGGGACAGTGTTTCAGATCACAGGGACAGAGTTTCAGATCACAGGGACAGAGTTTCAGATCACAGGGACAGTGTTTCAGATCACAGGGACAGTGTTTCAGATCACAGGGACAGTGTTTCAGATCACAGGGACAGTGTTTCAGATCACAGGGACAGTGTTTCAGATCACAGGGACAGTGTTTCAGATCACAGGGACAGAGTTTCAGATCACAGGGACAGAGTTTCAGATCACAGGGACAGTGTTTCAGATCACAGGGACAGAGTTGCAGATCACAGGGACAGAGTTGCAGATCACAGGGACAGAGTTTCAGATCACAGGGACAGTGTTTCAGATCACAGGGACAGTGTTTCAGATCACAGGGACAGAGTTTCAGATCACAGGGACAGTGTTTCAGATCACAGGGACAGTGTTTCAGATCACAGGGACAGAGTTTCAGATCACAGGGACAGAGTTTCAGATCACAGGGACAGAGTTTCAGATCACAGGGACAGTGTTTCAGATCACAGGGACAGAGTTTCAGATCACAGGGACAGAGTTTCAGATCACAGGGACAGAGTTTCAGATCACAGGGACAGTGTTTCAGATCACAGGGACAGTGTTTCAGATCACAGGGACAGAGTTTCAGATCACAGGGACAGAGTTTCAGATCACAGGGACAGAGTTTCAGATCACAGGGACAGTGTTTCAGATCACAGGGACAGAGTTTCAGATCACAGGGACAGTGTTTCAGATCACAGGGACAGTGTTTCAGATCACAGGGACAGAGTTTCAGATCACAGGGACAGTGTTTCAGATCACAGGGACAGTGTTTCAGATCACAGGGACAGTGTTTCAGATCACAGGGACAGAGTTTCAGATCACAGGGACAGAGTTTCAGATCACAGGGACAGAGTTTCAGATCACAGGGACAGTGTTTCAGATCACAGGGACAGTGTTTCAGATCACAGGGACAGTGTTTCAGATCACAGGGACAGTGTTTCAGATCACAGGGACAGAGTTTCAGATCACAGGGACAGAGTTTCAGATCACAGGGACAGTGTTTCAGATCACAGGGACAGAGTTTCAGATCACAGGGACAGTGTTTCAGATCACAGGGACAGAGTTTCAGATCACAGGGACAGAGTTTCAGATCACAGGGACAGTGTTTCAGATCACAGGGACAGAGTTTCAGATCACAGGGACAGTGTTTCAGATCACAGGGACAGAGTTGCAGATCACAGGGACAGTGTTTCAGATCACAGGGACAGAGTTTCAGATCACAGGGACAGTGTTTCAGATCACAGGGACACAGTGTTTCAGATCACAGGGACAGTGTTTCAGATCACAGGGACAGAGTTTCAGATCACAGGGACAGTGTTTCAGATCACAGGGACAGTGTTTCAGATCACAGGGACAGTGTTTCAGATCACAGGGACAGTGTTTCAGATCACAGGGACAGTGTTTCAGATCACAGGGACAGTGTTTCAGATCACAGGGACAGTGTTTCAGATCACAGGGACAGTGTTTCAGATCACAGGGACAGTGTTTCAGATCACAGGGACAGTGTTTCAGATCACAGGATTTCAGATCACAGGGACAGTTCAGTCACAGGACAGTGTTTCAGATCACAGGGACAGTGTTTCAGATCACAGGGACAGTGTTTCAGATCACAGGGACAGGTTTCACACAGGGTTTCAGATCACAGGGACAGAGTTTCAGATCACAGGGACAGTGTTTCAGATCACAGGGACAGAGTTTCAGATCACAGGGACAGTGTTTCAGATCACAGGGACAGTGTTTCAGATCACAGGGACAGTGTTTCAGATCACAGGGACAGAGTTTCAGATCACAGGGACAGAGTTTCAGATCACAGGGACTTTTGTTTCAGATCACAGGGACAGTGTTTCAGATCACAGGGACAGTGTTTCAGATCACAGGGTTTCAGATCACAGGGACAGAGTTTCAGATCACAGGGACAGTGTTTCAGATCACAGGGACAGAGTTTCAGATCACAGGGACAGAGTTTCAGATCACAGGGACAGTGTTTCAGATCACAGGGACAGAGTTTCAGATCACAGGGACAGTGTTTCAGATCACAGGGACAGTGTTTCAGATCACAGGGACAGAGTTTCAGATCACAGGGACAGTGTTTCAGATCACAGGGACAGTGTTTCAGATCACAGGGACAGTGTTTCAGATCACAGGGACAGAGTTTCAGATCACAGGGACAGTGTTTCAGATCACAGGGACAGAGTTTCAGATCACAGGGACAGACACAGTAATAACAAACACATAAGGGCTGGGAACATCAAACACGTGATCATAGGGACAGACCTGTGATGTGTGTGTGGTACCTGTGCTATGCAGTAACGGTTTCCCGAAGCAGACGGCGGCGCAGCTCATCCTGAAGGCCATCTCCAGTTACTTCGTGGCCACGATGTCTTCCAGCATCAAAACCGTTTACTTCGTCCTGTTCGACAGCGAGAGCATCGGCATCTACGTCCAGGAGATGGCCAAGCTCGAGACCAGCTAAATGCTAACGGCTAACCGCTAATGCTAACGGCTAAAGGCTAAGGCTAACGGCTGAAGCTAAGCTGTCGCCGGGAGATGAGCTCCTCTCTGTACATGAAGAATCTTTCGAAGGCCGGGAACTTGTTTTTGCATTTTTGTTTGTACTTCTATTTTTTATTTCCACCTTTAAAGTTTAGAGTTTAAAGTTTAGAGTTTAAAGTTTAAAAAGTGTTGATCCACAGTATTTTATGACGACAAAAACAGTGCTAAACATTGATCTAAAAACCCAGATATTCTTACGAGAGACGGCTGCTGCGGGTTTTACATGAGGCTCATTTTAGTTCAAATCATTTGGATCTTTTCTGTCGCCGCGACGACAAGTTTGAGACAAAAAACACATTTAGTTTTTGTGTCGAGTTCTGGAAGATTCTCATTATTGAAACAGATGAAAGCAGCACTGCACAGACCTCCCCTTTAAACTGAACAGCACTGCACAGACCTCCCCTTTAAACTGAACAGCACTGCACAGACCTCCCCTTTAAACTGAACCCTTGGATTCTACAGTTACGGCTTTAAAACACTCTTTGATCCTGAGATTATGAACTGCTTTAATATGTATGTATATATATATATATATATATATATATATATATACACATATATCCTGTATAATTTGGTCGGTGCGGCCTCTGCAGTGAAGTGAATGGTTCGGTCGGTGCGGCCTCTGCAGTGCTGCTGCTGGTTCCTATTGTGTGTTCTGTACGTGTTCTATCGATGGAGTATTTGTGAAATGTTTATGGTAAAAAAATAATAAATATGGGATTGTAGATTTTTATTTTAGTTTTAAAGTCGCAGAAATAGAAGAGAAAAAATAACATGTTTTCAATAAATGCTGTGTTTGTTTCGGTTTAAGACGCTGTAGGCCCGTCACCGTAACGCTGGACTTTAGCAATAAATATACATTAATATACATTAAAAAACATTAATATACATTAAAAAACATTAATATACATTAATATACATTAAAAAACATTAATATACATTAATATACATTAAAAAACATTAATATACATTAAAAAACATTAATATACATTAATATACATTAAAAAACATTAATATACATTAATATACATTAAAAAACATTAATATACATTAAAAAACATTAATATACATTAATATACATTAGATACTTGACTTGCTAAGGTTCCAGTTTCCATGGTGACGGTTGCTAAGGTTCGAGTTGCCATGGCGACAGTTGCTATCGTTCCGGTTTCCATGCAGATGGTTGCTACGGTTCCAGTTTCCATGGTGACGGGCGTCCTGCGGCTGCTTCTCATGTAGATTTTCAGTTGTGTTTTTCTGCCGCTGATGCGTATAGACCGCGCTCTCTTCATGGTCGGACTTGGATCCGGACTTGGATCCGGACTTGGATCCGGACTTGGATCCGGACTTGGATCCGGACTTGGATCCGGACTTGGATCCGGACTCATTCCAGGACAAAGACTTCGCTCTTTCCGCTTTTGGACTTTTCAGAATCTTTTCTTAAGATGTAAAAAAAGAAAACGATGTAAAATGCTTTGTAAGGATTCCAATTGAAGACTGTAAAACGACGATAATAAAACCATTTCCAAACATCCTGCTTCCTCACATTAAAGCTCAGGGACCTGAGCAGGGCGGGGCCTGGTTAGTGCTGTGATGGGAGACCTCTGGGAACAGCAGGTGCCACAGTGGGGCGGCTGTAAAGTGCTAAACTGTGGTTGTGTCCATAGGCAAGACACTTCCCCCACATTAGAATGAGTCTGGTGTGTAAATGGTTGGTGGTGTGACCCAGGGCAGCTGTGGCTACAGTCTGCCTCCACTGTGAGTTATTAGTCTGTATTCTCCTCTTTCCCACGAGGGTTAGACTCAAACTGAAGTATGTGATCTGAAAGTGCTCCATGGGGTCGTGTTCCCAGAGATCGGCTCTGGACCTCCTCCTCGGGTCCTAATCCCGGTCTCTCCTCGGGTCCTAATCCCGGTCTCTCCTCAGATCCTAATCCCAGTCTCTGAAATGAAAGCAGAAGCACATGTGTTCGGGACCTGGCCTTGCACGAGACCCTCTGCTTCAGGAGGAAAGAAAGCAACCATAAGTCAAAAGAAAACAGCATCAGAGGAAGCCTCATAACCTGGGATCAGGACCGAGACCCAGCCGGGGGACCGAGACTCAGCCGAGGCTGAGACCCAGCCGAGTCCCAGTCAAGACCGAGACTCAGCCGAGGCTGAGACCCAGCCGAGTCCCAGCCAAGACCGAGGCCCAGCCGAGACCGAGATTTCCATCGCCACGATACAATAACATGTAACTATCTAACTTAAAACTATATCAGGACTTCAGAGTGTGTGTGTGTGTCTGTATATAACTTGAGAGAGTGTGTGTCTGTATATAACTTGAGAGTGTGTGTGTCTGTATATACATGTTAGTAGTAGGTGTGTGTCTGTATATACATGTTAGTAGTAGGTGTGTGTCTGTATATACATGTTAGTAGTAGGTGTGTGTCTGTATATACATGTTAGTAGTAGGTGTGTGTCTGTATATACATGTTAGTAGTAGGTGAGTGTGTGTGTCTGTATAGACATGTTAGTAGTAGGTGAGTGTGTGTCTGTATATACATGTTAGTAGTAGGTGAGTGTGTGTCTGTATATACATGTTAGTAGTAGGTGAGTGTGTGTGTCTGTATAGACATGTTAGTAGTAGGTGAGTGTGTGTCTGTATATACATGTTAGTAGTAGGTGAGTGTGTGTGTCTGTATAGACATGTTAGTAGTAGGTGAGTGTGTGTCTGTATATACATGTTAGTAGTAGGTGAGTGTGTGTCTGTATATACATGTTAGTAGTAGGTGAGTGTGTGTGTCTGTATAGACATGTTAGTAGTAGGTGAGTGTGTGTCTGTATATACATGTTAGTAGTAGGTGAGTGTGTGTCTGTATATACATGTTAGTAGTAGGTGTGTGTCTGTATATACATGTTAGTAGTAGGTGTGTGTCTGTATAGACATGTTAGTAGTAGGTGTGTGTCTGTATATACATGTTAGTAGTAGGTGTGTGTGTCTGTATATACATGTTAGTAGTAGGTGTGTGTGTGTTTGTATATACATGTTAGTAGTAGGTGTGTGTGTGTGTGTATGTCTGTATACATGTTAGTAGTAGGTGTATGTCTGTATATACATGTTAGTAGTAGGTGTGTGTGTCTGTATATACATGTTAGTAGTAGGTGAGTGTGTGTCTGTATATACATGTTAGTAGTAGGTGTGTGTCTGTATATACATGTTAGTAGTAGGTGTGTGTCTGTATAGACATGTTAGTAGTAGGTGTGTGTCTGTATATACATGTTAGTAGTAGGTGTGTGTGTCTGTATATACATGTTAGTAGTAGGTGTGTGTGTGTTTGTATATACATGTTAGTAGTAGGTGTGTGTGTGTGTGTATGTCTGTATATACATGTTAGTAGTAGGTGTGTGTGTGTGTGTATGTCTGTATATACATGTTAGTAGTAGGTGTGTGTGTCTGTATATACATGTTAGTAGTAGGTGTATGTCTGTATATACATGTTAGTAGTAGGTGTGTGTCTGTATATACATGTTAGTAGTAGGTGTATGTCTGTATACATGTTAGTAGTAGGTGTATGTCTGTATATACATGTTAGTAGTAGGTGTATGTCTGTGTATACATGTTAGTAGTAGGTGTATGTCTGTATACATGTTAGTAGTAGGTGTATGTCTGTATATACATGTTAGTAGTAGGTGTGTGTCTGTATATACATGTTAGTAGTAGGTGTGTGTCTGTATATACATGTTAGTAGTAGGTGTATGTCTGTATATACATGTTAGTAGTAGGTGTATGTCTGTATACATGTTAGTAGTAGGTGTATGTCTGTATATACATGTTAGTAGTAGGTGTATGTCTGTATATACATGTTAGTAGTAGGTGTGTGTCTGTATATACATGTTAGTAGTAGGTGTATGTCTGTATATACATGTTAGTAGTAGGTGTATGTCTGTATACATGTTAGTAGTAGGTGTGTGTCTGTATATACATGTTAGTAGTAGGTGTGTGTGTCTGTATATACATGTTAGTAGTAGGTGTATGTCTGTATATACATGTTAGTAGTAGGTGTGTGTCTGTATATACATGTTAGTAGTAGGTGTATGTCTGTATATACATGTTAGTAGTAGGTGTATGTCTGTATACATGTTAGTAGTAGGTGTATGTCTGTATATACATGTTAGTAGTAGGTGTGTGTCTGTATATACATGTTAGTAGTATGTGTGTGTGTGTATGTCTGTATATACATGTTAGTAGGTGTGTATGTCTGTATAGACATGTTAGTAGTAGGTGTGTGTCTGTATATACATGTTAGTAGTAGGTGTGTGTCTGTATATACATGTTAGTAGTAGGTGTGTGTGTGTGTATATACATGTTAGTAGTAGGTGTGTAGTGTGTGTGTATACATGTTAGTAGTAGGTGTGTGTGTGTATGTCTGTATATACATGTTAGTAGTAGGTGTGTGTCTGTATATACATGTTAGTAGTAGGTGTGTGTCTGTGTGTCTGTCTGTGCGCTCTCCTCTGTGTAACTTTTGTCCCCAGCCTCTCGAGTCCTACAAGGCTGCTCTCGGTGCAGACGTGCACTTGGAGGGTTTTCAAACGGATCTCGTGAAGCAGAAGGATCATGGAACTCTGAAACTAACGCAGCTCTGAAGGCCCAACCCCGTCTTCCTCTTTTCCCTGGCCTGTCCATGCAGTTAAAATGCCCTCTCTTCCACTAACCAGACCTATCCCGTGGATGTGAGTAATCTTGTTGTTTTTCTAAATTTGTCGCACTAAATTTAGGAACACAAAAAATAAGCCCATATGACCTGTTTGTCTTGGTGTAAGGAACCTCAGTGTTACTCTGTAGCTGAGAATTGTATACAGCAATGGTTACATCTCTAACAAGGCCGCTGTGTTGGCCTTTGCTTGTTCTGTCGCACCTGTATGAGTGCGTGTGCCTCTCGGGCCAGAGCAATGTCCAAACCATGTCTGTATGACACAAGCAAACTGAGAAGCATGGGAGTATTTTTCTAGTAACTTCTGGTCATGTTAATCATTAAGAAATTGACACTGGTTGGTCTTGTGTTCGACATGTTGGGATGTGTATTTGGGTAGCGTGAGTTTGCCGCCGTCTCTGGGGCAATGCTGCTCTGTGCATTAATCTGCACAATGATCATCCCATAGTTTTTCCCCTAATATTTTTTTTCTAGGTGATTACAGTTGGATTAAATTAATTTGGCTTTGTAGATTTCGAGATTTTTGTCCAACTTTTAGTTGCACTCTTAAGGGGGAGAGTGTTACGGCCCACGGCCCGTAATTCCCTATTTTGGGGATTACTTTAGTTTCTCCCGTGGTGTCTCTGTGTGGTTGTGTTTCCTCCCTTTTTTCAGAAGATCACGCTCGTGAGTCCTGGGCTCCTATTGGCCAGTCATTCCCCACCTGGAGCTGATTGACCGCGATGCCTGGGTGCTGATTGGGCAGCAGCTGAGGCAGGCCTCCAATCAGCATGCGCTCACCTGGAGGACCCGCCCTTATAAACTGCCAATCTTCCGCGGCTCGGGGCAGCTGGAGTCAGTGGACTCCAGTTTGCCATTAGTTTTGTCTGTGTTTTGTCACTTGTGCCGGTACCTTAGTTCAGTGACTTGTTTAGTTTATGTTGAAACACTTTAGGTTTACACTTTTGGTTTTGTCAACTGCTTACTTGTTTTAATAGGGTATTTATTTATTGTGTGTTATGTAGATATTAATCCTATTTTGTTTTACCTACTTTGTCACCTAAATAAATTATGATTTTAGTTACCATTCTACCATCTTGGTTATTTTGTTACTTCCTCACACCTAGCTGAGCCGGGTCGTAACAAAAGGCACGGCGGCTGAGTGGATAGCACTCTCGCCTCTCAGCAAGAAGGTCCTGGGTTCGAATCCCGGTCGGACCAGGGCCTTTCTGAGTGGAGTTTGCATGTTCTCCCCGTGTCTGCGTAGGTTTCCTCCGGGTACTCCGGTTTCCCCTACCACTAAAAATATGTCCAATAGTTCTGGCATGTGCCTTCTGTACTGGCCCCGCTCCCATCTCTGTGTGGAGTGAGAGACAAATGCCCAAAAATTAACAATTGTAAACCGCTTTGAGACTCAGATCTGCAGTGAAAAGGCGGTATATAAATAAAAACTTACTTACTTACTTACTACTTACTATATACATGTTAGTAGTAGGTGTGTGTGTGTTTGTATATACATGTTAGTAGTAGGTGTGTGTGTGTTTGTATATACATGTTAGTAGTAGGTGTGTGTGTCTGTATATACATGTTAGTAGTAGGTGTGTATGTCTGTATATACATGTTAGTAGTAGGTGTGTGTCTGTATAGACATGTTAGTAGTAGGTGAGTGTGTGTCTGTATATATACATGTTAGTAGTAGGTGAGTGTGTGTGTTTGTATATACATGTTAGTAGTAGGTGTGTGTATGTCTGTATAGACATGTTAGTAGTAGGTGAGTGTGTGTGTTTGTATATACATGTTAGTAGTAGGTGTGTGTGTCTGTATAGACATGTTAGTAGTAGGTGAGTGTGTGTGTTTGTATATACATGTTAGTAGTAGGTGTGTGTGTCTGTTTGTATATACATGTTAGTAGTAGGTGTGTGTGTCTGTATAGACATGTTAGTAGTAGGTGTGTGTCTGTATATACATGTTAGTAGTAGGTGTGTGTCTGTATAGACATGTTAGTAGTAGGTGTGTGTCTGTATATACATGTTAGTAGTAGGTGTGTGTCTGTATATACATGTTAGTAGTATGTGTGTGTGTGTATGTCTGTATATACATGTTAGTAGTATGTGTGTGTGTGTATGTCTGTATATACATGTTAGTAGTATGTGTGTGTGTGTATGTCTGTATATACATGTTAGTAGGTGTGTGTGTGTATGTCTGTATAGACATGTTAGTAGTAGGTGTGTGTATGTATATACATGTTAGTAGTAGGTGTGTGTATGTCTGTATAGACATGTTAGTAGTAGGTGTGTGTGTGTGTGTGTATGTCTGTATATACATGTTAGTAGTAGGTGTGTGTGTGTGTGTATGTCTGTATATACATGTTAGTAGTAGGTGTGTGTGTGTGTGTATGTCTGTATATACATGTTAGTAGTAGGTGTGTGTGTGTGTGTGTGTGTCTGTATATACATGTTAGTAGTAGGTGTGTGTGTGTGTATGTCTGTATATACATGTTAGTAGTAGGTGTGTGTGTGTGTATGTCTGTATATACATGTTAGTAGTAGGTGTGTGTGTGTGTGTGTGTGTATGTCTGTATATACATGTTAGTAGTATGCAGTGTTGTGCGTGAACGAGTTCAAAAGAACGCGTTCATTGAACACGCTCATTTTTTGTGAACGTTGAAACGTTTTGAAACGCAACGAGAGAGTTCTCCTCCTGTATTCTCCGCACTTTTTCCGCCGAAAACTAATAATTCCCACAGTTTTTACAGTCTATGAACGCACCGTGACTCCGTGTTTTGGTGCGGCGCTGTGTGCTAGTGCTGTTCATGGGTTGTGGGACTCGTACGTAGTGTGATGAAAACAGAGGGTGAGTCAGCGACACAGGCCGTTTACATTTGACATAAAGTATAGACACACGCACTGCAGCGCATTACTGTCTGTACTTATGAGCACAGATGTACTTATGTAATAGCATTTAGCCTAGCCAGCGATATAAATATATATTTATATTTATATCACGTATAGTGATTTAAGTACGTAAGTAATGTTTATTTATATACCGCCTTTCACACACCAGAGTCACAAAGCGGTTTACAATTGTTACTTTTTTGGGCATTTGTTTCTCAGTCCACACAGAGATGGGAGCGGGGTCGCCGAACAGGAGGCGACCCTCGCCAGACCTATTGTACATATTTTCAGTGGTAGGGGAAACCGGAGCACCCGGAGGAAACCTATGCAGACACGGGGAGAACATGCAAACTCCACCCAGAAATTTCTAGCTTGTAGTGTGAAAAAAGTATTTATTGGAATATCTCACGAAAAAAGTAAAATGAACTGAACTTGAACTAGTTCAGAAAAGCAGTGAACTGGCACAACACTGGTAGTATGTGTGTATGTCTGTCATGGATCTATAATAATAACTGGATAGAGTATTACTAGCTTACAGCTGTCCCACCTACGGGCACAGGGGGCGCTGTGGTACTGCAGACTAAATTCACAAGGGCTACTCAGAAAAGTCTCCTTGAACTCAATGTAAATTAAAACAGCACGACCTCAGCTGACAGAGAACCTGACAGAGAACCTGACAGAGAACCTGACAGAGAACCTACAGCTTTCATAAAGATCGGATTTTGTGGGGATTTTAATATCCATGTCATCCCTGAACTTTTTTTCATCTTAAATCCTTCAGTTTTCTTTAAATCCACACTTTACTGCCACAATCTCTGCTCCTTTCTTTCCCGCTCTGACTCCGCTCTGCTGCTGCTCTGATCAGCTCTGATTGGTCAGAGCGCGGCCGAGCCCCTCTGTGCATGTGCATGAGAGCCACACACGCACGTTTGGCGCGACGCATCATGGGAGATGGAGCAAAGCATTATGGGAGATAATCCACTGCACAGAATCAGGAGGACCAGACGATGCCCGAATATAGGCGAGTTCTGCTAATCTCCCGGTCTCTCATGCGCTACTGAGCACAAGCCATTCATTTGAATAGGACGCCATCTTGGATCACCGGGGCTTGATGTCTGTAAATACATGTTAGTAGTATGTGTGTCTGTGTATGTCTGTATATGCATGTTAGTAGTATGTGTGTCTGTGTATGTCTGTATATGCATGTTAGTAGTATGTGTGTCTGTGTATGTCTGTATATGCATGTTAGTAGTATGTGTGTCTGTGTATGTCTGTATATGCATGTTAGTAGTATGTGTGTCTGTGTATGTCTGTATATGCATGTTAGTAGTATGTGTGTCTGTGTATGTCTGTATGCATGTTAGTAGTATGTGTGTCTGTGTATGTCTGTATATGCATGTTAGTAGTATGTGTGTCTGTGTATGTCTGTATATGCATGTTAGTAGTATGTGTGTCTGTGTATGTCTGTATATGCATGTTAGTAGTATGTGTGTCTGTGTATGTCTGTATATGCATGTTAGTAGTATGTGTGTCTGTGTATGTCTGTATATGCATGTTAGTAGTATGTGTGTCTGTGTATGTCTGTATATGCATGTTAGTAGTATGTGTGTCTGTGTATGTCTGTATGCATGTTAGTAGTATGTGTGTCTGTGTATGTCTGTATATGCATGTTAGTAGTATGTGTGTCTGTGTATGTCTGTATATGCATGTTAGTAGTATGTGTGTCTGTGTATGTCTGTATATGCATGTTAGTAGTATGTGTGTCTGTGTATGTCTGTATATGCATGTTAGTAGTATGTGTGTCTGTGTATGTCTGTATATGCATGTTAGTAGTATGTGTGTCTGTGTATGTCTGTATATGCATGTTAGTAGTATGTGTGTCTGTGTATGTCTGTATGCATGTTAGTAGTATGTGTGTCTGTGTATGTCTGTATATGCATGTTAGTAGTATGTGTGTCTGTGTATGTCTGTATATGCATGTTAGTAGTATGTGTGTCTGTGTATGTCTGTATGCATGTTAGTAGTATGTGTGTCTGTGTATGTCTGTATATGCATGTTAGTAGTATGTGTGTCTGTGTATGTCTGTATATGCATGTTAGTAGAATGTGTGTCTGTGTATGTCTGTATATGCATGTTAGTAGTATGTGTGTCTGTGTATGTCTGTATATGCATGTTAGTAGTATGTGTGTCTGTGTATGTCTGTATGCATGTTAGTAGTATGTGTGTCTGTGTATGTCTGTATATGCATGTTAGTAGTATGTGTGTGTGTGTATGTCTGTATGCATGTTAGTAGTATGTGTGTCTGTGTATGTCTGTATATGCATGTTAGTAGTATGTGTGTCTGTGTATGTCTGTATATGCATGTTAGTAGAATGTGTGTGTGTGTATGTCTGTATGCATGTTAGTAGTATGTGTGTCTGTGTATGTCTGTATGCATGTTAGTAGAATGTGTGTCTGTGTATGTTTGTATATGCATGTTAGTAGTATGTGTGTCTGTGTATGTCTGTATATGCATGTTAGTAGTATGTGTGTCTGTGTATGTCTGTATATGCATGTTAGTAGTATGTGTGTCTGTGTATGTCTGTATGCATGTTAGTAGTATGTGTGTCTGTGTATGTCTGTATATGCATGTTAGTAGTATGTGTGTCTGTGTATGTCTGTATATGCATGTTAGTAGAATGTGTGTCTGTGTATGTCTGTATATGCATGTTAGTAGTATGTGTGTCTGTGTACGTCTGTATGCATGTTAGTAGTATGTGTGTCTGTGTATGTCTGTATATGCATGTTAGTAGTATGTGTGTGTGTGTATGTCTGTATATGCATGTTAGTAGTATGTGTGTGTGTGTATGTCTGTATGCATGTTAGTAGTATGTGTGTCTGTGTATGTCTGTATATGCATGTTAGTAGTATGTGTGTGTGTGTGTGTATGTCTGTATGCATGTTAGTAGTATGTGTGTCTGTGTATGTCTGTATATGCATGTTAGTAGTATGTGTGTCTGTGTATTTCTGTATATGCGTGTTAGTAGTATGTGTGTGTGTGTGTGTATGTCTGTATGCATGTTAGTAGTATGTGTGTCTGTGTATGTCTGTATGCATGTTAGTAGAATGTGTGTCTGTGTATGTCTGTATATGCATGTTAGTAGTATGTGTGTCTGTGTATGTCTGTATATGCATGTTAGTAGTATGTGTGTGTGTGTCTGTATATGCATTTTAGTAGTATGTGTGTGTGTGTGTATGTCTGTATGCATGTTAGTAGTATGTGTGTGTGTATGTCTGTATGCATGTTAGTAGTATGTGTGTCTGTGTATGTCTGTATATGCATGTTAGTAGTATGTGTGTCTGTGTATGTCTGTATATGCATGTTAGTAGTATGTGTGTGTGTGTGTGTATGTCTGTATGCATGTTAGTAGTATGTGTGTGTGTGTATGTCTGTATGCATGTTAGTAGTATGTGTGTCTGTGTATGTCTGTATATGCATGTTAGTAGTATGCGTGTGTGTGTATGTCTGTATGCATGTTAGTAGTATGTGTGTCTGTGTATGTCTGTATATGCATGTTAGTAGTATGTGTGTCTGTGTATGTCTGTATGCATGTTAGTAGAATGTGTGTCTGTGTATGTCTGTATGCATGTTAGTAGAATGTGTGTCTGTGTATGTCTGTATATGCATGTTAGTAGTATGTGTGCGCCTATCTGTGTGTGTATGTATTGTGTATGAAGTATGTATGTAGTGTGTGTGTAGTATGTGTGTAGTGTGTGTGTATGTAGTGTGTGTGTAGTATGTATGAAGTATGTATGTAGTGTGTATGTAGTATGTGTGTATGTAGTGTGTGTGTATTGTGTATGTAGTGTGTGTGTATGTAGTATGTGTGTAGTGTGTATTTAGTGTGTATGTAGTGTGTGTGTAGTGTGTATTTAGTGTGTATGTAGTGTGTATGTAGTGTGTATGTAGTGTGTATGTAGTGTGTGTGTAGTATGTGTGTAGTATGTATGTAGTGTGTGTGTAGCATGTGTGTCTGTGTATGTCTGTATATGCATGTTAGTAGTAGGTGTGTGTGTGTGTATGTCTGTATATACATGTTAGTAGTAGGTGTGTGTGTCTGTATATGCATGTTAGTAGTATGTGTGTCTGTGTATGTCTGTATATGCATGTTAGTAGTATGTGTGTGTATGTCTGTATATGCATGTTAGTATTATGTGTGTCTGTGTATGTCTGTATATGCATGTTAGTAGTATGTGTGTCTGTGTATGTATGCATGTTAGTAGTATGTGTGTCTGTGTATGTCTGTATATGCATGTTAGTAGTATGTGTGTCTGTGTATGTCTGTATATGCATGTTAGTAGAATGTGTGTCTGTGTATGTCTGTATATGCATGTTAGTAGTATGTGTGTCTGTGTTCGTCTGTATGCATGTTAGTAGTATGTGTGTCTGTGTATGTCTGTATATGCATGTTAGTAGTATGTGTGTGTGTGTATGTCTGTATATGCATGTTAGTAGTATGTGTGTGTGTGTATGTCTGTATGCATGTTAGTAGTATGTGTGTCTGTGTATGTCTGTATATGCATGTTAGTAGTATGTGTGTGTGTGTGTGTATGTCTGTATGCATGTTAGTAGTATGTGTGTCTGTGTATGTCTGTATATGCATGTTAGTAGTATGTGTGTCTGTGTATGTCTGTATATGCATGTTAGTAGTATGTGTGTGTGTGTGTGTATGTCTGTATGCATGTTAGTAGTATGTGTGTGTGTGTATGTCTGTATGCATGTTAGTAGTATGTGTGTCTGTGTATGTCTGTATATGCATGTTAGTAGTATGCGTGTGTGTGTATGTCTGTATGCATGTTAGTAGTATGTGTGTCTGTGTATGTCTGTATATGCATGTTAGTAGTATGTGTGTGTGTGTGTGTGTGTATGTCTGTATGCATGTTAGTAGTATGTGTGTCTGTGTATGTCTGTATGCATGTTAGTAGAATGTGTGTCTGTGTATGTCTGTATATGCATGTTAGTAGTATGTGTGCGCCTATCTGTGTGTGTATGTATTGTGTATGAAGTATGTATGTAGTGTGTGTGTAGTATGTGTGTAGTGTGTGTGTATGTAGTGTGTGTGTAGTATGTATGAAGTATGTATGTAGTGTGTATGTAGTATGTGTGTATGTAGTGTGTGTGTATTGTGTATGTAGTGTGTGTGTATGTAGTATGTGTGTAGTGTGTATTTAGTGTGTATGTAGTGTGTGTGTAGTGTGTATTTAGTGTGTATGTAGTGTGTATGTAGTGTGTATGTAGTGTGTGTGTAGTATGTGTGTAGTATGTATGTAGTGTGTGTGTAGCATGTGTGTCTGTGTATGTCTGTATATGCATGTTAGTAGTAGGTGTGTGTGTGTGTATGTCTGTATATACATGTTAGTAGTAGGTGTGTGTGTCTGTATATGCATGTTAGTAGTATGTGTGTCTGTGTATGTCTGTATATGCATGTTAGTAGTATGTGTGTGTATGTCTGTATATGCATGTTAGTATTATGTGTGTCTGTGTATGTCTGTATATGCATGTTAGTAGTATGTGTGTGTGTATGTCTGTATGCATGTTAGTAGTATGTGTGTCTGTGTATGTCTGTATATGCATGTTAGTAGTATGTGTGTCTGTGTATGTCTGTATATGCATGTTAGTAGAATGTGTGTCTGTGTATGTCTGTATATGCATGTTAGTAGTATGTGTGTCTGTGTACGTCTGTATGCATGTTAGTAGTATGTGTGTCTGTGTATGTCTGTATATGCATGTTAGTAGTATGTGTGTGTGTGTATGTCTGTATATGCATGTTAGTAGTATGTGTGTGTGTGTATGTCTGTATGCATGTTAGTAGTATGTGTGTCTGTGTATGTCTGTATATGCATGTTAGTAGTATGTGTGTGTGTGTGTGTATGTCTGTATGCATGTTAGTAGTATGTGTGTCTGTGTATGTCTGTATATGCATGTTAGTAGTATGTGTGTCTGTGTATTTCTGTATATGCGTGTTAGTAGTATGTGTGTGTGTGTGTGTATGTCTGTATGCATGTTAGTAGTATGTGTGTCTGTGTATGTCTGTATATGCATGTTAGTAGAATGTGTGTCTGTGTATGTCTGTATATGCATGTTAGTAGTATGTGTGTCTGTGTATGTCTGTATATGCATGTTAGTAGTATGTGTGTGTGTGTGTGTGTATATGCATTTTAGTAGTATGTGTGTGTGTGTGTATGTCTGTATGCATGTTAGTAGTATGTGTGTGTGTATGTCTGTATGCATGTTAGTAGTATGTGTGTCTGTGTATGTCTGTATATGCATGTTAGTAGTATGTGTGTCTGTGTATGTCTGTATATGCATGTTAGTAGTATGTGTGTGTGTGTGTGTATGTCTGTATGCATGTTAGTAGTATGTGTGTGTGTGTATGTCTGTATGCATGTTAGTAGTATGTGTGTCTGTGTATGTCTGTATATGCATGTTAGTAGTATGCGTGTGTGTGTATGTCTGTATGCATGTTAGTAGTATGTGTGTCTGTGTATGTCTGTATATGCATGTTAGTAGTATGTGTGTGTGTGTGTGTATGTCTGTATGCATGTTAGTAGTATGTGTGTCTGTGTATGTCTGTATGCATGTTAGTAGAATGTGTGTCTGTGTATGTCTGTATATGCATGTTAGTAGTATGTGTGCGCCTATCTGTGTGTGTATGTATTGTGTATGAAGTATGTATGTAGTGTGTGTGTAGTATGTGTGTAGTGTGTGTGTATGTAGTGTGTGTGTAGTATGTATGAAGTATGTATGTAGTGTGTATGTAGTATGTGTGTATGTAGTGTGTGTGTATTGTGTATGTAGTGTGTGTGTATGTAGTATGTGTGTAGTGTGTATTTAGTGTGTATGTAGTGTGTGTGTAGTGTGTATTTAGTGTGTATGTAGTGTGTATGTAGTGTGTATGTAGTGTGTATGTAGTGTGTGTGTAGTATGTGTGTAGTATGTATGTAGTGTGTGTGTAGCATGTGTGTCTGTGTATGTCTGTATATGCATGTTAGTAGTAGGTGTGTGTGTGTGTATGTCTGTATATACATGTTAGTAGTAGGTGTGTGTGTCTGTATATGCATGTTAGTAGTATGTGTGTCTGTGTATGTCTGTATATGCATGTTAGTAGTATGTGTGTGTATGTCTGTATATGCATGTTAGTATTATGTGTGTCTGTGTATGTCTGTATATGCATGTTAGTAGTATGTGTGTCTGTGTATGTCTGTATATGCATGTTAGTAGTATGTGTGTCTGTGTATGTCTGTATATGCATTTTAGTAGTATGTGTGTCTGTGTATGTCTGTATGCATGTTAGTAGCATGTGTGTCTGTGTATGTCTGTATATGCATGTTAGTAGTATGTGTGTCTTTGTACGTCTGTATGCATGTTAGTAGTATGTGTGTCTTTGTATGTCTGTATATGCATGTTAGTAGTATGTGTGCGCCTATCTGTGTGTGTATGTATTGTGTATGAAGTATGTATGTAGTGTGTGTGTAGTATGTGTGTAGTGTGTGTGTATGTAGTGTGTGTGTAGTATGTATGAAGTATGTATGTAGTATGTGTGTATGTAGTGTGTGTGTATTGTGTATGTAGTGTGTGTGTATGTAGTATGTGTGTAGTGTGTATTTAGTGTGTATGTAGTGTGTGTGTAGTGTGTATTTAGTGTGTATGTAGTGTGTATGTAGTGTGTATAGTATGTGTGTAGTATGTATGTAGTGTGTGTGTAGCATGTGTGTGTGTGTATGTCTGTATATGCATGTTAGTAGTAGGTGTGTGTGTGTCTGTATATACATGTTAGTAGTATGTGTGTCTGTGTATGTCTGTATATGCATGTTAGTAGTATGTGTGCGCCTATCTGTGTGTGTATGTATTGTGTATGATGTATGTAGTGTGTGTGTAGTGTGTGTGTGTAGTGTGTGTGTATGTAGTATGTGTGTAGTGTGTATTTAGTGTGTATGTAGTGTGTGTGTAGTGTGTATTTAGTGTGTATGTAGTGTGTATGTAGTGTGTATGTAGTGTGTGTGTAGTGTGTGTGTAGTGTGTGTGCAGTGTGTATTTAGTGTGTGTGTAGTATGTGTGTAGTATGTATGTAGTGTGTGTGTAGTATGTGTGTAGTATGTATGTAGTGTGTATGTAGTATGTGTGTATTTAGTGTGTATGTAGTGTGTATGTTGTGTGTGTGTAGTGTGTATTTAGTGTGTATGTAGTATGTGTGTAGTATGTGTGTAGTATGTATGTAGTGTGTATGTAGTATGTGTGTAGTGTGTATGTAGTGTGTGTGTAGTGTGTATTTAGTGTGTATGTAGTGTGTATGTAGTGTGTATGTAGTGTGTGTGTAGTGTGTATTTAGTGTGTATGTAGTGTGTATGTAGTGTGTATGTAGTATGTGTGTATGTAGTATGTGTGTAGTGTGTATTTAGTGTGTATGTAGTGTGTATTTAGTGTGTGTGTATGTAGTATGTGTGTATGTAGTATGTGTGTAGTGTGTATTTAGTGTGTATGTGGTGTGTATGTAGTGTGTATGTAGTGTGTATGTAGTATGTGTGTAGTATGTGTGTAGTATGTATGTAGTGTGTATGTAGTATGTGTGTATGTAGTGTGTATGTAGTATGTGTGTAGTGTGTATTTAGTGTGTATGTAGTGTGTATGTAGTATGTGTGTAGTATGTGTGTAGTATGTATGTAGTGTGTATGTAGTATGTGTGTAGTGTGTATTTAGTGTGTATGTAGTGTGTATGTAGTGTGTGTGTAGTATGTGTGTAGTATGTATGTAGTGTGTATGTAGTGTGTATGTAGTGTGTATGTAGTGTGTATGTAGTGTGTATGTAGTGTGTATGTAGTGTGTATGTAGTGTGTATGTAGTATGTGTGTAGTATGTGTGTAGTATGTATGTAGTGTGTATGTAGTGTGTATGTAGTGTGTATGTAGTGTGTATGTAGTGTGTATGTAGTGTGTATGTAGTATGTGTGTAGTGTGTGTGTAGTGTGTATTTAGTGTGTATGTAGTGTGTATGTAGTATGTGTGTAGTGTGTATGTAGTGTGTGTGTAGTGTGTATTTAGTGTGTATGTAGTGTGTATGTAATGTGTATGTAGTGTGTATGTAGTGTGTATGTAGTATGTGTGTAGTGTGTGTGTAGTGTGTATTTAGTGTGTATGTAGTGTGTATGTAGTATGTGTGTAGTGTGTATGTAGTGTGTGTGTAGTGTGTATTTAGTGTGTATGTAGTGTGTATGTAGTGTGTATGTAGTGTGTATGTAGTGTGTATGTAGTATGTGTGTAGTGTGTATGTAGTGTGTGTGTAGTGTGTATTTAGTGTGTATGTAGTATGTGTGTAGTGTGTATGTAGTGTGTGTGTAGTGTGTATGTAGTGTGTATGTAGTGTGTATGTAGTGTGTATGTAGTATGTGTGTAGTGTGTATGTAGTGTGTGTGTAGTGTGTATGTAGTGTGTATGTAGTATGTGTGTAGTATGTGTGTAGTATGTATGTAGTATGTGTGTAGTGTGTATGTAGTGTGTATGTAGTGTGTATGTAGTGTGTATGTAGTGTGTAGTGTGTATGTAGAGTGTATGTAGTATGTGTGTAGTGTGTGTGTAGTGTGTGTGTAGTGTGTATTTAGTGTGTATGTAGTGTGTATGTAGTATGTGTGTAGTGTGTATGTAGTGTGTGTGTAGTGTGTATTTAGTGTGTATGTAGTGTGTATGTAGTGTGTATGTAGTGTGTATGTAGTGTGTATGTAGTATGTGTGTAGTGTGTGTGTAGTGTGTATTTAGTGTGTATGTAGTGTGTATGTAGTATGTGTGTAGTGTGTATGTAGTGTGTGTGTAGTGTGTATTTAGTGTGTATGTAGTGTGTATGTAGTGTGTATGTAGTGTGTATGTAGTATGTGTGTAGTGTGTATGTAGTGTGTGTGTAGTGTGTATTTAGTGTGTATGTAGTATGTGTGTAGTGTGTATGTAGTGTGTGTGTAGTGTGTATGTAGTGTGTATGTAGTGTGTATGTAGTATGTGTGTAGTGTGTATGTAGTGTGTGTGTAGTGTGTATTTAGTGTGTATGTAGTATGTGTGTAGTGTGTATTTAGTGTGTATGTAGTGTGTGTGTAGTGTGTATTTAGTGTGTATGTAGTATGTGTGTAGTGTGTATTTAGTGTGTATGTAGTGTGTGTGTAGTGTGTATTTAGTGTGTATGTAGTATGTGTGTAGTGTGTATGTAGTGTGTGTGTAGTGTGTATGTAGTGTGTATGTAGTGTGTATGTAGTATGTGTGTAGTGTGTATGTAGTGTGTGTGTAGTGTGTATTTAGTGTGTATGTAGTATGTGTGTAGTGTGTATTTAGTGTGTATGTAGTGTGTGTGTAGTGTGTATTTAGTGTGTATGTAGTATGTGTGTAGTGTGTATTTAGTGTGTATGTAGTGTGTGTGTAGTGTGTATTTAGTGTGTATGTAGTGTGTGTGTAGTGTGTATTTAGTGTGTATGTAGTGTGTGTGTAGTGTGTATTTAGTGTGTATGTAGTATGTGTGTAGTGTGTATTTAGTGTGTATGTAGTATGTGTGTAGTGTGTATTTAGTGTGTATGTAGTATGTGTGTAGTGTGTATTTAGTGTGTATGTAGTATGTGTGTAGTGTGTACCTATGACCCCGAGGCTGGTGAGGCGCAGATATTCAAACGGTCGTGTTTTGCTCACAGTGTGAAGAAACGGATACAAGAACAGAGGAATGTGAGCGGCCAGGAACGCAGACCTAAAAAACACACACGCACCCGCACACGCACACGCACACGCACACGCAGAGTTTGAAACAGGAGCCTTCCGACAGAAGGGCCCGGGGACATTAGCATGGATGGAGCTTAAACCCAGGAGCCTCATGTATAAAACCTCACACATAAGTACAGGAGCAAAACTAATGGGAGAGTACATCATTGTTCTGTTCATTCAGTTCTTTTCTTAGAAACAAACTAAATCTATAGTGTAGCATGGACCATCAGAGGGACCATGGGCAGACCCTCACCTGGTCTCTGGGTGTGAGGCTACACACTGCAGCAGAGCCAGAGCGTTGCAGACTCTGTTGGACTGATGAGCTGTGAGTGTGGGCGGGTTTATGGATGGGTAGATGTTCACGATCTCCTGGAAACACACACAGACACGTAAAGATACACACACACACACACACACAACACAGACACGTAAAGATACACACACAACACAGACACGTAAAGATACACACACAACACAGACACGTAAAGATACACACACACACAACGGATACACACAACGGATACACACAACACAGATACACGTAAAGATACACACACACACAGAACACAGACACGTAAAGATACACACACACACAACACAGACACGTAAAGATACACACACACACAACACAAACACATAAAGATACACACACACACAACACAGACACATAAAGATACACACACACAACGGATACACACAACACAGATACACGTAAAGATACACACACACCAGATACACACACACACACAACACAGATACACACAGACACACAACACAGATACAGACACACACAGACATGTAAAGATACACACACACACACACACAACACAGACACACACCTAAAGACACACACAGATACACACAGACACACTATGATACAGGTTGCACAGGGACTGTTACCTGCAGCAGAGCAGAGATGGTACCACAGGAGTGCCAGAGCATGGGCGCCAGGTCAGCCACAGACTCGCGTTTCTTGCTCAGCTCCAGCAGAGCGTTCTCTCGGGTCTCGGGGCTCGACAGCTCGTTGATCCATTGGTAAATCTTCTCCCTGTCGACCTGCGCCAGCGCAGTCACGTTACTGACGGCCTGAACACGGAACAGAAGAGTCAGAGGCTGTTACTGACGGCCTGAACACGGAACAGAAGAGTCAGAGGCGGTTACTGACGGCCTGAACACGGAACAGAAGAGTCAGAGGCGGTTACTGACGGCCTGAACACGGAACAGAAGAGTCAGAGGCTGTTACTGACGGCCTGAACACGGAACAGAAGAGTCAGAGGCTGTTACTGACGGCCTGAACACGGAACAGAAGAGTCAGAGGCTGTTACTGACGGCCTGAACACGGAACAGAAGAGTCAGAGGCTGTTACTGACGGCCTGAACACAGAACAGAAGAGTCAGAGGCTGTTACTGACGGCCTGAACACGGAACAGAAGAGTCAGAGGCTGTTACTGACGGCCTGAACACGGAACAGAAGAGTCAGAGGCTGTTACTGACGGCCTGAACACGGAACAGAAGAGTCAGAGGCTGTTACTGACGGCCTGAACACGGAACAGAAGAGTCAGAGGCTGTTACTGACGGCCTGAACACGGAACAGAAGAGTCAGAGGCTGTTACTGACGGCCTGAACACGGAACAGAAGAGTCAGAGGCTGTTACTGACGGCCTGAAGCGTTACTGACGGAACGGAGAAGAGTCAGAGGCTGTTACTGACGGCCTGAACACGGAACAGAAGAGTCAGAGGCCGTTACTGACGGCCTGAACACGGAACAGAAGAGTCAGAGGCTGTTACTGACGGCCTGAACACGGAACAGAAGAGTCAGAGGCTGTTACTGACGGCCTGAACACGGAACAGAAGAGTCAGAGGCTGTTACTGACGGCCTGAACACGGAACAGAAGAGTCAGAGGCTGTTAGTGACGGCCTGAACACGGAACAGAAGAGTCAGAGGCTGTTACTGACGGCCTGAACACGGAACAGAAGAGTCAGAGGCTGTTACTGACGGCCTGAACACGGAACAGAAGAGTCAGAGGCTGTTACTGACGGCCTGAACACGGAACAGAAGAGTCAGAGGCTGTTACTGACGGCCTGAACACGGAACAGAAGAGTCAGAGGCTGTTACTGACGGCCTGAACACGGAACAGAAGAGTCAGAGGCTGTTAGTGACGGCCTGAACACGGAACAGAAGAGTCAGAGGCTGTTACTGACGGCCTGAACACGGAACAGAAGAGTCAGAGGCTGTTACTGACGGCCTGAACACGGAACAGAAGAGTCAGAGGCGGTTACTGACGGCCTGAACACGGAACAGAAGAGTCAGAGGCTGTTACTGACGGCCTGAACACGGAACAGAAGAGTCAGAGGCTGTTACTGACGGCCTGAACACGGAACAGAAGAGTCAGAGGCTGTTACTGACGGCCTGAACACGGAACAGAAGAGTCAGAGGCTGTTAGTGACGGCCTGAACACGGAACAGAAGAGTCAGAGGCTGTTACTGACGGCCTGAACACGGAACAGAAGAGTCAGAGGCGGTTACTGACGGCCTGAACACGGAACAGAAGAGTCAGAGGCTGTTACTGACGGCCTGAACACGGAACAGAAGAGTCAGAGGCTGTTACTGACGGCCTGAACACGGAACAGAAGAGTCAGAGGCTGTTAGTGACGGCCTGAACACAGAACAGAAGAGTCAGAGGCTGTTAGTGTTTGAATATGAGGAAAACAAGGACCAGAAGACCAGAGCGAGAAAAGTGACCATCACTGAACACGCCTCGGCCAAACCTCTACAGTCTTTGATGCTCGGCTTTGTCCGGACAAGGGCCTTTTGAATAATGCACATGACACAAGGAGAACATGCAAACTCCCCCAGGACCTTCTGGCAAGAACTCAGCCACCTGCAGACTTTCTTAGAATGCAAACGTGTTGTATACTTAGATGAAGACAGCGTGGTTTGGTCCGGTTCTTTTTACTTTTAAGACTTCATTATTTTATTTTTTGTGGTGAATTTCAAAATAGATCTACATGTCCCAGCTTTAACACGAACACACACAGTGTATTACAGCGTAACGCACACATCTTTATATATATATATATATATTGTATCGGTTATATATATTATAACCGATAGAAATACATCGGATTGATGAGAGACAACAGTTTAAAGGCACTTTAAAGAGCACAGGGTCATGTCGTGATTATATTGTGGTAAATACTCACAGGCCCCGTCACCAGCATCGTCTCCAGTGATTATTCAGTGAAGTGTTTGTAAAATATGAAGTAAACAGTCTTCACTTTGGGCGATAGCCGCAGATGCTAACGGCTAACTCATGCTAACGTCCAAACCAGTGCATATTCCACCGTGAAACAGACTTTAAAACATATAAATATTAATAAATACAGACATAAAACGAACACGTATATTCCGTAAATCGAATGCGTCGCTGCTGAGGAGTGAAAACGGGATAAATCATTGAGCGTTTTCTCCAACAACTAAAACTCGAGCCGTTCGGAATATAAACAAAGACAAGTCTCGCGAGATGATTTATTCTAGAACAGGCGTGTCCAAACTGAGGCCCGCGGGCCGAATGCGGTCCTCTGGCATTGTATGTGGGCCTCTTCTTCTTCTTCTTCTTTGCTGTTTTTTTTGGCGGTTGACAACCAAAAAAAGGAGTATTACCGCCACCTACTGTACTGGGGTGTGTGGACCATTGGAATCAAGCTAGAATCAGCAGTTCAAATACGATCTTTCAGTCCGGTGGTTTTAATGAAATGGATTAGACGTTTGCGGATGTTTACAGACGGTTGATCTAGCAATGTCTTTAAATTAAATGGGCGTGTTTCTTTTGCAACAGCTGTTGACATGCAGACTCGTTGCTCTCTATAATAATCACAGTGCAGGAGGACATGTTCTACAGTCTCTGGTTCATGTGTACAGTGCTGGCATGTTCCATCCACATGCTTTCCAATTCTCCAGAGTGAGTGGTTTAGGCCTGTGTGTCCGATCCTCAAACGAGTGATAATGGATTCCTCTTTACGGTTACCTGCCCACAGGCAGTTTGATCCAACTTTACTCTGGATTCCATAAAGATGTCTTCCTGTATCACTGACGTCCCAGCACTCTTGCCAAAGCTTCATGATTTTAGATTTCAGCAGGGCTTTTCCCTCAGCTTGACTTAGTGATACATTTATGTTAATAGTGTCAGATCTTAAGGCTTGTTTAGCGAGTATATCCGCCTGCTCATTCCCCTCTACTCCAACGTGAGCGGGAACCCAAACCAGTGACACATCAATATTCTTGTTATACACCTGTGCCAGGAGGTTATAAGCCTTATAAAGTAGATCCATCCTGCACGACTTTCCAGATTTGAGACTCAATAGCACTGCTTGGCTATCGGATGCAATAACAGTTTTACAAATATTGACACAAGAGTTCATCAAAATCCAGTTAAGTGAAAGTAAAATGGCGATCAGCTCAACCGTGTATACTGCTAGATGGTTTGAGACTCTTCTTCTAATATTGATTCCATACTCTGGGATGCACACTGCTGCACTGGTTCGTCCGCTATCTGGGTCCTTAGATCCATCAGTGTACAGAATCAGACTATCATAGTGACATTCAAGATATTCGTGCACAATACGCCATTCCGGTATAGTTCCTTTATCCTTAATACTTTGATGGAGAGATAGGTCAACCCTGGGAGGTTCAAAAACCCATGGAGGGACCGGAGAACATGGGACTGTGGGGCAATATTTAAAACCATTTAGGTCAAAGTGTTGTGCTTTGACTTCGCACACCCACCCAAAGCTAAAAAGCTCAGATTCTTGATGCTCCCAGCAATCTTTTAATGTCTCTTTCGTTGGATGAAGAGTGTCATGGCCTTGAAGGTTCAACCAGTATGCGAGCATGAGCTGGATCCTCCTCAGACGGAGAGGGGCTTCCCCCGCTTCAACCTGAAGGGCAGAGAGTGGCGAGGTCCTGAAAGCTCCACAACATGTACGCAGTGCTTGTGTTTGTTCTTGGTCTAGCTTCTTCAGGTGTGTCTCTACAGCAGACATGTAAACAAAGCAGCCATAATCCAAGGAGGACCTCATGAGTGCTTGGTAAATTCTTATTAGGGCCCCTCTTGCTCCTCCCCAATCTCGGCCTGCTAGGCATCGCAATATGTTATTTACTTTTTTACATTTATCTTTGACTGACTCAATATGTTTTTTCCATGTTAGTTTCTCATCCAACCACATTCCCAAAAACCTAACCATAGCGACTTGTTCCAGTTTTTGTCCATACAAATTTAGCTCAACTTCTTTGTGTCTTTTTGAAAAACAAATTACTTGTGTCTTTGGAACAGACATTTTAATTGCCCAACTGCCAGCCCACATTTCTACTTCATTTATTGCATTTTGCATTTTCCTTTGTAGGTATTTCAAATTACGACCCCTGATCCAAAGGGCCCCATCATCCGCGTAGAGGGATCTCCCAACAGAACTTTCTACATTCTCAAAAATATCATTTATCATTATATCAAATAGAACAGGGCTACAAACACTTCCCTGTGGGGTTCCATTTTCAACTGTATAAGTATCAGAATAGGCACATCCAACTCTTACTTCTATTTTCCTTCCAAACAGGAAACTTAGCACCCAATTGTAAAGTCTTCCTCCAACGCCAAGTTTGGACAATTTAATCAGCAGCCCCTCTTTCCAAAGCATATCGTATGCTTTTTCTATGTCGAAAAACACAGCCAGAACCACTTCTTTATTTGTTTGGGCTTTTCTTATTTCAGATTCTAGGCAGACAAGTGCATCCATGGTGCTTCGTCCCCTCCGAAAGCCACTTTGGAAAGGGGTGAACAGTTTCTTCTTTTCCAAATAATAATTCAGCCGTGTTGTAATCATCCTTTCCATAGTTTTCCCTAGTTGTGATGTTAATGCAATGGGTCTATAGCTAGATGGGTCTGATGCTTCCTTTCCAGGTTTCACGATTGGCACTATAACAGATTGTTTCCAAGCATCAGGGATCTTCCCAGTTTCCCAGACTAAGTTAAACAACCTCACTACAGCTACCAAGGACTCCTCCTCCATTCTCGCCAACATGGAATAGCAGATTCCGTCTTTGCCAGGGGATGTCTGTTTAGAAGAAGCTATTGCACGTTTAAGCTCAAACATAGTGAAAGGCAGGTCAAGATCATCACAAAAGGAATTCTTCATGTTAGCGACACCTGGGTTCTCTTTTGCAGTTCTATCTCTACATTCCTTTATGTCTTCAGATAGATTACTCGAGCTGTGTACACTAACAAAAGTACTCGCAAGTAACTCTGCCTTGTCCTTATTGTTTACTGCAGTGACCTCTTCTTTTTGCAAAACTGGCATTGAATAAACTCCTTTAACTCCACTCATTTTCCTAATGACACCCCAGATATCAGCCAGCTTTGTTTCTCGCCCAATCTTGCTGCTGTAACTCCTCCAAAAGGTTCTTCGTGCGGTTTTTATAACCCTCCTAACTTGAGCTTGAGCTCTTTTATAATTAAGGAGGGACTCAAATGTAAGAACTTTACGTAACCTTTTAAACATTTTATTTCTTTTTTTAATGGCCTCACTACAATCATCATTCCACCAAGGCACACCCTTATTCTGCTTCTTTCCTTTAACCTTTGGGATCGTGTCCCCTGCTGCTTGCAGGATAACAGAGGTTAATTCCTCATTATACACGTCAACATCTGTAATTTCTCTCCCAAAGTCTTCTGGACACAAGCGGCTCACTATTATTCTGAACAACTCCCAGTTAGCCTTGTCCAGCTTCCATCTTGGAATTCTTGAGTCAGTTTCCTCAATGACTTCTGTTCCTACTTTGGTAATAACTGGAAAATGGTCACTTCCCATTAGGGCGCCTTTTACAACCTCCCAGGAAGCCTTACTTGCAATAACACTAGAAACTAATGTGAGATCCAGAGTGCTCACTACATTATTTGAACAATTGTATCTTGTACCACTTCCATCGTTAATACACACAAGTGAGTTAGCTTGGATACACTCTTCTACAGCTACCCCATTTGCATTAGTGCTACGACAGCCCCATAATGTGCTGTGGGCATTAAAATCACCACACCAAATAACTTTCCCTTGTGCTTTACTAATCACATTATTCAATATTTCCGAGTTCAGCCTGTTGCCAGGGTTATAAAAATTAATCACAGAAAACTGACCATCATTCGCCCATATTTTGGTAATTATAAACTCTTGACTGATATCCTCAACTTTGAAATTAAGTCCACTCTGTACAAACGTAGCAATACCCCCACCTTGCCTCTGTTCCCTGTCACAACGGATTGACACATATCCTGGTATTACAAAGTCTAAGGCTGGCTTAAGCCAGGTTTCCTGAATACAGATCAAATGAGGTTTAGCTTCCTGATCCACAATATACTTTTTAAATTCTTGACCGTTACTAATTAAGCTTCTTGCATTCCATTGGAATACAATCAACATAAAGAGGATGAGGTACCACATTGTTGTATCAATCGCTGTCCTGGTGTGTTTTTCTTCCTTACGTTTAATTTTTCGTTAATCGACTCCAGTTTCACATCTTTGATACCAAGGTGTCTTTCTGCAGCACTTAGGATAATTACAATTTTCTCTGTTCTGCCCTTTGCTTGCAGGGTGCAGTTTATTACTTCCGCCATGAAGAGTAGGAAATCCTCTTTTTCCATCATTAGTGTATCTTCATTTATTTTGTTACAGTTATCACACTTGGAGCTACTAGTAGTTGGGGCTACTGCAGCTGTTACTTTCTTTGGCAACGCAGGGACCTTCTTAGCCGCTTCTGCATAGGTGACTCCAGTGGAGACTCTGACTTTTTGTACTTCAGCAGCTCTTTTACTAACTTCACATCCACGGTATGCAGAGCTGTGCTCTCCCCCACAGTTACAACACTTAACCTTTGCTCCTTGTTCACACTTTCCATATTCATGCTCCCCTGCACATCTTCCACATCGTTGTTTTCCTCTGCACACAGCAGCAACATGGCCATACTTTTGGCATTTAAAGCATCGAAGTGGTGGAGGGATATATGCCCTGACATTATAGCACATGAAGTCAATGAACACTTTGTCCGGAAGTACTTTTCCTTCGAATTTGACCATAACAGAGAAGCTATCACTTCGTTCGCCATTACGCCACGCTTTGAGACGTTTAATGTCTACAATCTTAGCGTTAGTTCCTTTCAAACTCGATTTGATGTC